CTGCCATACATTATGAACGCAGCCTAAATCAAAACTAAAATGACTGAAACATAAAGCTTGCAAGCAGTACTTTACCTTAATATTCCAGTTCACATTTGCATCATCCTCTGTACCTTTTCTCCTCTTTCTATCTTTAATATCAAATGGTTCAGAAGCATTTGTGGATTTCCTTATATCCTGGATATTACCTGCATAAAGGATAAATAAAGTTTTTGGGTTTTAGCACCATTAGTAAGTGCAAACCCATGAAAAGTTAGAGTACTTTTACGTGGTTGATGAAAATTGTAATCCTACACCCTGATTGGCTGAGCTACTATTGGTCTATTAGTGATAGACCACACATGGTCCGTGAAAATAGTAAGCATATTATACATAGTATTAGTACAAACCTGTAAATTGTCTATCATGAAACCTACACTCTGATTAATTGGCTAAGCTACTATTGGTCTATTAGTGATATACCACTAGTAGCCAAAAGTGCCAGTTTTCAAAACCAAAATGTGAAATGTGAAAAATAAATTATTTCAATAATGCAATAACAATGAAGCTTCTTATTGGCTATTGAACATTCTTGACATATTTCTAGGTGCCCACAGTTTCTCCATTCACCCTGTAATCTGCACCTATAACTACTAAACCCAAATAGTACTAAATTATGCAAAATTCATAATACATATCTCAATATATATTAAAATATTACCTCTGCTCCCACCAAACTTGTGATTTAGAAACAAGAAAACATCATTTATTGTTCCCTAAAAGTAATTCATAATATCATGATAAATTATGCATTGAGCCCGAAAAACAATTAAAAGAAAATGTAGCACTATTATTTTTTAAAGAGTCTTTTAATAGTTAAAAGACCCATTAGCATTAGCAGTCAAAATAATAAGCAATTTTTTAACAACAGTAAATTTGAGTCCTTACCTGTTTTGGAACATGTATAGACTTTGTTGATAAGTTTTTCTTTTTTCTTTTCTTTTTAAAGGGTTCTTTTAGTTTTTTCTTCTCGCGTAACTCAGCACAAACATCTAGTGATTTTCCTGTGGACAATAATTCAACAAATAAATTCTCAAGTATTTAAGCTCCTGGTTCAAAGCCCGGGAGGGGTACTCCACTATGTTCCCTATATGGGTACTTGCCGCCAAACAGGGTATAGATTTCAGTGATTCTACTCTGGAACAAGGTATATAAAGTCACGTTCGCTCTGGGACAGGGCATATGAAAACAAGCTCTCTCCTCTCTGGAACAGGGTATCCATTTTCGCAATACCGGAACAGGTTATGATTTTCAGCAATCTTGCTTTGGAACCGGGTATGAATTTCAGCAAATTTACTCTGGAACAGGGTCAGGTTTCAGTGGGCTCAGTGGCACATCACTACCCTAAATGGGCAAGAGTATACCCCGGGGTTCAAACAAGCAATGCAAATTCCAACACGAAATTAAACTGCAAAAATAATTAATTTTCTTTGAAAAATTAACTATACCTTGTGGTAAAAGAACAGCTTCAATTGGATCAACTCTACCACTTCCATCCTTGCCAAGTCCTTTTCTGGAGAATAATAACGAGGAAACTTAATTATGATTAAACATCCAGGCTACTAAGCAATTAGAACATAGAACCATTAGCGATAAAGTCAAATCCCACTAATTGACATCCAGCTTTAGCACACATGTTAGAGTTATGCAAGAACCAATCAAAATGTAGAATGAAAACAATGCATTCCAATTTTGAGTATTCAAACCAATCAGAAACAAACAACTAGATAGCCATTGTCATTTTCACTTGAGAGTAATAAGATATGTTGAGAGGTTATTGTTTTCTGCTGGTTTCTGATTGGCTCCACTTCACAAAGTTGGAATGCATTGTTTTCATTCTACATTTTGATTGGTTCTCGCTGTCTCAGTAGTAGCCCCAGTTTCAGCAGTTGCACAGTAATGGGGTTTTACCTTTTTCTCTGACTGATACTTACCCAAATATATATCCCATCCTGGCCATTAATTTTGACCCAATACCCTGAAATATGAAATGTTATAATTATTTTATAAAATGATTCTTATGAACCATCCTTTGGAAAGTTTAATAGTTCCCCTTTACAGTTTCCTGCGACATCTTGAAAGGTGGCTGTTGCTTTGCATCAAGACGAGACGAACAGTGAGCTTGCAATGATAGAGATCATCGACATGTATATAATTGCCCAAGGTGTTGGAAAAGATTTCTATCATTGCAAGCTCACCATTTGTCTTACTTCGATGCAAAGGCATGGCCACCTTTCAAGATGGAGCAGTGAACTGTGAAGCTAAGGGGAACATTGGTGCCCTCCATGGCAAGGATATTTTCTTCAACTAAGCTATAACAAGTAAAAATGGGTAAATCAATTGCAGGGATTGATTGCTCTGTACCTCCTCCTAATCTAGAGGGTTCTTATGCATAAGCTATCAATGCCAGATGGCATATACACTTTCCAAATTAATCTCTCCTTGTCCGTTGCAAAATCCCCCTCCATGGGAGAAGTACGGAAAATTTACTACTAGCCACTCCTCAAAATTACAACTCTAACCCTAACCCCCTACCCCTGGCTCCCCCCTCACCCACCCCCATGGGAAAGGTGTGGGCATTTACTGTAGTAGCAGCTCTCCTCAACGTTCTTGTACCCAAAGACACCCAACAATGCACAACACAAAATTCTTGGAAATCATTGTGATTATGACCATCGCTCCTTACTCTTGTGTGCTGTTCCCAGTCTCCCAGATTAGTTCCTTTTGGCTTCCATTCTTTGAGGGCTTGTTCGTTGTCATCATCTTGATCCCCATTGGTGAATCTTCTTTCTTCACTATCGCTTGACAGTGACGACAGCTCTTCATCATCAGAAAGATCAGGCGATTCTTCCTTATCTATTCAATAAACGTTGTTTTGGTTATTATATTGGTTTTTGATTGTGCTATTATTGTATGAGATTAGAATAGGCCCTTTGCAGCTAACAGTCACATGTGTGTACTGGAGAGCAAAATTTTCGTTTTGTTTTTTAATTGGTGATTCTTTTTAGCTACTTGTAAAGAACTGGATAAAAAGATGTTCAAGCAGTGTGTTACGAAATGCAGTCTTATTACGATCTCTCGAAACAGGTTGTAGAAATTTTGTTTGCTCACCAGTATATTTCACCCATGGGAATCAAGATGTTCATTCATTTGCTCTCAGTGAATTAATCACCACGTGATTACTGAGCTGCACAGGGCCTATTGCTTGATCCTGATACTTTTACCCAGGAGTCACCCACCCTGGAGCTAAGAATCATGGTTATGGAAGGGGGACAAAACAGAAAAACAAAAAGGAAGCTGCTAAAAATAGAAATTTAAAAAAAATCAAAATCTAACTTTTGAAGTAATTGTCATAAAAAAGGAATAACACTCAAGGGGAAGTGATCTAAAGGCATCACACCAAAATGCTTCTAGACTTACGAAGTGGGAAGACAGAATCCAGTCCAAGAGTTGTATCATTGTTGTAGGTATCATAATGAACCAGAAACTCATGATGATCTTCATCTACTGATCTATCAAACAAAAACATAAATTTATATCAAAATTAATTTAAAATTATATCATTTATAATTTACAACTATCCCTCCACTATCACTCTTCTGTGTGATTGCCTCCACATGCACTAGCACTAAATTGTGTAGTTCAAGAAAATATCCATACCCTACCATGGAGGAAATTTGTAAAAGTAGCCCCCTACCCCCAGGAACTTCCAGTTTTCTTCCTTACAAACTTTGTAATTTTGTTCTTTCTCTGACCCCCTTGCCTCCAGAATTTCCAATTTCCTCCATGGTTGCATGGGGTATGGATATTTTCTGGAACTACACATTCTATATTTACAACACACAACAAAACCCACATAATGATTTTTATGGAGGGAAAGCAGAGAACCTGGAAAAAATGCCTCAAAGCAAAAGAAAAACACATTTAAAGAAAATTGACTCTCATCTGTGGCTCAGCTAGGAATTGAATTTGCGACTACACAGTAGTGAGAGACAATGCAGTAGCAGCGCATCAGCCACTTTTTCCAATACATTATTGATCTCATGACAGAATGAGAGCTCTTGTCTGCATTTTCTGGTTTTCCTATCTCCACAAAAACCCACATGTTGGTTTCTTCATCCAGCAAAAAAAAGAAGGCATAATATGTCATATAAGACATTATGGTCACAATTTAACAAAAACGTACTTTATTGTTGACTTGTACCAAACACAATCACTATATCTTGCTAAGCACTGCTGTCCTTCTTTGATTTCACTGTTAAAACATAAATTTTGATGACATCAATATAATGTAGCTATTTCTATCCATCTGGGCATGCTAGTTGTACGAAGGGTGGATAGCGCTATCTGATGGATTAATCCTTATACAGTGGATAAATTGATGCCGTTATCCAATAGATTTATCCACTGAATAAGAATTATCCTTCAGATAGCTTTATCCACCCTTTGTACAACCGGGCCCTGAAATGAAATACTGAGAAATGAAGTACTGAGAAAAATATACATTTGTGCTGACAGTACCTGAAGTTTGGTTCTTTGAATGGCTTGAGATCCTCTACCTCAACAAGAAAACCATGAGAATATCTAAAACAGGAAAACAAGATAAAAGTTGTTTAAACACTAATTTACTATTAAAAGAAGATTGACACACAACTTGAATATTTTGTAAACTAATTCTGTTTTTTCAGTGATACAGCGATAGAGTAGAAAGAGAATACATTATTTAATTTCCAATTATTGGTAGCCTGCGTCACATCCGGAATTTTCTTCGTAAATAAAATTCCGGATGTGACGCAGGTTAATCATTGGTTGAACCGTATTTTTTTCAAATAGTATAAACTGGTAACACAATTAACTTTTTCTATTTAATACCTGCACTCGTTTTCACTAAATCGACACTTCCCATCCAAGAAGTATGGGCATGGCACCATTGATTGATGGGTAGGGTTAAGAAATAGTACTCTCACCTAAAATTATGAACCACCATTGAAAAATAAACAATAAAAGCCAAGAGTCAATTCTTAGGTAGAAAAGACAATTCACCAAATCTGGCAGCAGTCACTCTGGTTAGGGTATCAGTTAGCCCAGGAGTTTTTACAAGTATAAATAAATACAAATAGCTCTTTTTTCCTATGACTTTAATTTTCTTCCGATTTTACTCACTTTAGCATTATCTGGAGACTCGTCATCAGACATTTCAACACTGAAAACCATAGCATTGTGGTGCTCCTTGACACCCCATTCCTGGATGTTGATGAAATAATTTATAAATATTCATTATAGCAAAAAGCATTTTGATTATAAACAGTTTGAATACTACAGTCAAACCATGTGTTCATGTGTTCCTATCAAGGTCCAAAGATTCATTTCAATATTGATTTCAATATTGATTTCCATCCTGCTTTGAACTAATGAGACAAATGTCGTAAATTTCAATGATAACAAACGCAAGTGATGCTGATTTCCAGTGGAAAAACATACCTCTGCCTCCCAGCTTCCCTCCCCCCCCCCCCCCCCCCCCCCCCAAAAAAACATGACCCTCACACAGAGAAGACTGAACTTAGACCCTTGTAGCATCTTACCTTAATATTTCACAAAAAATGTAATATTATATTTACTGGAAATAAAATATACCTCTGCTCTCCACCCTACCATTCCTACCACTAATAGACATCCTAGAAGTATATACCTGAGTATAAGAAACTCTACATTTTGTGCCGATAATATCTTCCTCTTCAACTGACTCAGTGTTTTGGGTCATGGACTGAAGAGAAATGAGATAAGAAGATTTGCTAATAATGAAGTCTTGCAAACAAGTAAGAATACTCACCTGAAAGCTCATTCGTACACTAGAAAATACAAGTGACATATGAGATATATATAGAGGATATTACATGGGCGCACAGAGATACGAATTTTATCTTAATTTTATCTTTAGCGCAGCGAACGAGTGAGATATCTAAATTTGAACACAAGAAGATAAAATTCGTATCTCCAAGCAGCCATGTTATGTTCTGTTTATCATATAGATATCGATGAAACTTAAATAAGACAAAAGCTCAAAAATTCTTTATTAAAATACGTTACTATGTCAACAGCGATATCTTCACGTAAGAAAGATATGGTATCTTCCACTGGTGAAAGATATCAAGTTTTCGACACTAGAGAAAACCTGGTATTTCATCTATATCTATATGATAATCAAAAGTATTGCAGAGCTAGCATGTTTCACTGACATGTAGAAAAGCTGAGCTTAGGGTTCCTTTTGAGCCACAATAATTGCTACTCACATCATCATCTTCATCTTCAATATCTTCATCAAAGGTAAGGGCTTTTGATCCACTTGCTTCTTGCTCTTCCAGGGCTTGTAATAGTCTGGTCTTTTTTAAGTTTAATAGACGTTCTAAAGGGATTGAAATATAACTCAATAATTATAATAGCCCGGCCATTTATACAAAAAATTACAACTTATGTTTACAATTTACGGCCATGATTACTACCCATAAGTAAAATAAATAAATAAATAAATAGGATTTAACAGTGGCATTTCTACAGAGTAGCTATTCATCCACTGCAATTCCAATTGGAATTTAGGAGTTGATTTTTGCGGAGGGAGGCAAGCCGGGAAACCCGGAAAACCCTCGAAGCACAGGAGAGAACCAACAAACAACTATCATAAGAGACTCTTCAGCCATGAGGTTCACTCCACTACATGAAGAACTACCACCGCATTCAATATTTACAACACACATGTTGAGTTTTACCTAGCGAGGAAGACTGGAAAACCCAGAGAAAAACCCATGTGGCAAGGGAGAGAAGAACAAATCAAATAAACTCCAATCATTTCAGAATAGTTTCAAAGACGTAATGGGCACATAATATTTCCCCATTTCAGACCATGTGTCATTTTCTTGAGAATAAAATTTAACATAACTTGGTGATCTATTTTTACCTTCTGATAAATGTATAAGCTCAACTAAGTCGTCCCTGATTTTAACCATGTCTTCTTGACCCTCTTCGCCAGTAGCTTGAAGAACATTTTGAACCTGGAGGAACTAAGATTTTGGCCCAAAATAAACCTTGTTTCATATTAAACTTTTTTTTATTAAAACCGGTTCAAATTTTTGACAGCAACAATTCAATTCAATTTACAATTTACAAACAAAATAGCAAGATTTTTACCTGTTCTTTGTATTCATTGATAGCTCCAGTCAAAGATTCTTCATCCATGCAATCTTAGTTTATATTTAACGTCAGAAAATAGTAAATTTAACTGAAATTATTATCAATTTTTCATCCTTTTTCAGCTGTGTTGAGCAAAAGTACAAGAATACCAAGGCGTTCCTCGCTTTACTATTCTCAGTCTCCTCTCTGTTAACTGTGTGACAGGAACCCCGTGTGTAGTTGACATTATTGATACATTTTTCTTTGATTATCATTCTTTCGGAAATGAGAATTATTTTGGTATGAAATTTAACGGCTAAATAAGATTAAGGAAGGGTAGATGTCGAGAAGTGATGTTTTATTGTTGGATATTAGCGTCGTTTGGGCCAACGCAAATTGGCGGGAAAACTGCGGACAAGTTGCATGATTATGAGTTCCTCAAAATTAGTGACAAAAATGCACATAATAATAATTCCTCCTACGTTTTTTCAACGTGCATTGTTTTAGAGGAAGGGGAAGGAGGGGTTATTTGTTGAGCTTAGTGGGAAGTTACCCCTCCCCTCATGGGAAATCCTAGAATCTCCTCTGGGACAGCTCAGTTCGTGAGTTCTTTCTAATTAAAGGTTTCAGATTCCCGAACTATATGCGATTGTTTTCCATGCTTCATCTTTCGTAGTTTTCCGAGCTTGCGCAGTACGTAGTTCGTGTTATACCTGCTTCGCCAAATTGGAAAGATGTCCTTACGATTTTACCAACAATGCGCAGTTTACGAAGTTTGAGGTAACTATATGGTTAACCAATAAACGCAACGACACTAAACTGAGGTCCGAACAACGACATTTATCTAGGAACCTCCAAACCGCAGGATCAGATAATCCTACTCACAGTACCCATTAGTTTGTGCACAAAAAAGTCAAGATACGTCAGAAGTCTTTTTACTCCCCCACCTTCTTAATTCCCCCGCTCTAAATACACCCCACCGTGAGGCTGGCTAAGGTACTTAATAACTGGTGCGTCTTCACTAGTGCGCAAAATATTGACTATGCAGATTAGTCAAGGCAGGTTGCTAATCATTGACTCAATTACTGGAGATTTCTTTTGCACTCTGGTATATATAAAACAGCTCATATCAGGACATATCAGAGGGCTGACAATGGAAAATCAAACAAAACCAGGCCATAATTCCAGAGATATTTCCAGTGCTATTCAATATGCATGCTGGTCCGCTGTACAACTCGTCCCTTTCAGCTCGCCCACGCTTATAAAAGTTGCGTGGGTTCCCTGTGGTGCCGAAGTAAGTCGATTTGGAAACAGGTGAAAAAATGAACTAAAAATGATTTTGTTTTTATCAAAATTTGAAGAATCCTTGAGAGTTCTGACATAAATTGTTGTATGTGAAGTTAGTTCCAGCGCATGTTATGATTCAATTATATAGGGCTTTTATTTTGCCTCATCTTGAGTATTGTAGCCCTGTGCTGGTGGGAATATCTAAGTCACTCTCAAAAAAATTAGAAGAAGCCAATTATTATATTCTTAGAACTTTATTAGGCCTATCTAAATCTAATTCTTATGACA